AATGTTATTATTATTCAGACTTTAGTGTTTGAATAGCTCTGTCATTTGAATATTTCTGTTAGTAAGCCGAATACAAATGACCAATATTGGAAGCGATTACAATTTCCTATGCGCCTTTGCATAGTTGTAGATCTATATCTCTACCCAGCTGTTTTCATGTCGCAATCCACGTACTAATTTGGGTCCAATTTATTTTTAGCTTCAATCCATTACAATGGCTAGGTTTTTACGTCTTAGCCTAGATTGACTTTAATTAAAACACCATCCATCCCCAATCTATTCTTGCTCTAAAAAATCACCTCCTCTCTCATACTACCATTACCTACGTACATCCTAACATATGTATACGGTTTTGTAATTTATGTTACAAATCTGTATGTTATCTACTCAATAGACTTCCGCGGGTTATAACAATAAAAATCTCTGGTTTAACAACGGATGGTTTTGAAACCGACTATTTGGATCAGCCTTTTTTCACTAACCTATATGCCAACATAAATTGGTTATCCAGAAATCCAACTTTATAGTTGTTAATTTGAACTATGATTACACACCCAAAAAGTAGTTAAGCCATCTAGCGGCAACTAGTATATAAAATATTAACATTGTTCTCACAAAGTGATTTGGCACATATGAATGTTGGTGTTTTTCAAACTTAAGAACACTTAAGCCTGATATCTCGAGAATCAAACTATTTGGCATATATATTAGCTTAATGAGAAAAATTCATTAGTTATTAATTCTATATTATTTTCAACATAGTCTCAGAACAAACATTTATGATGAGGATTTTTGTGACATCATTAGCTATTATTAGTACGAAAATCTTTTTAACTTGAATCATTAATTTGGGTTTTGGAATATATACATGTATATATATATTGGAATACATTAAATAAATTAAATTTTATTTTATTAAAAATTAAATAAACCGCTTCTATTTTTAGTGCTATTAACTGGCACTTTTATAAAATTTATTTTCCATGTTGTCCAGTTTTATGTTTTCTGTATGCTGACCACCGTGGCCATTTTGGTGGTCCTTCTGGTCTGCATATGAAGAATGCTAATCCGTGGTATTACAACATGCAATTATTTGAGATTAAGTGAGCTTTGGTGTACAAGGTCACCGCTCCAACCTAACTGAATGTCGTTTGCAAATAAATATTTTAAAGTGCTAAAATGATATAAAACAAATTTTTTGAGGTCGGATTACTATATGGTAATATATGATTCGCATGGGCGTACCCTGAGCCGAATTGGGGGAAAGGAGGGGTGGCGCTGGTATGCTGATATGACATCATATGTTTTATGCAATAATAAAATATTGAAATCCAGGGGGGGAGGAGTGGTTTGCGTAACCTTACCCTAACTGTATACGCCCATGATAATTCGAATAGCTGTAATATATAATAAGTAAATGACCCAGTATTTTTGCTGGTATGCTGATATGACATTATCATATGTTTTATGCAATAATAAAATATTGAAATCCAGGGGGGGAGGAGTGGTTTGCGTAACCTTACCCTACCTGTATACGCCCATGATAATTCGAGTAGCTGTAATATATAATAAGTAAATGACCCAGTATTTTTGCTGGTATGCTGATATGACATTATCATATGTTTTATGCAATAATAAAATATTGAAATCCAGGGGGAGGGGTGGTTTGCGTAACGTTACCCTACCTGTATACGCCCATGATAATTCGAGTAGCTGTAATATATAACACGTAAATGACCCAGTATTTTTGCATATACGAAGTCTATTTAATTAGTTTTCCGGGAAAATAGTTTTTACCACAAAATAAAAGTAAAAGTTAGTATATTAGAGCGAAAAAGGCATGAAAATATTTAAATTTTTATGTTTATCAACATCACGTTCATTTAAAAGTGAACCAAGCATAACAGTAGGGAAAATTTTTTCGTTCTAAATGTTCTCATATGAAAAATCACTGTATTAGTATCCAACAATTACTACAACAATTTTATCTAATTATGCTTTAAAGCTTATGCGAGGCCATTATATGATTGCTCTTACCATACTGATATCTCATCATCTAGAACAAAACTGTGACTAAGAACAGTTTTAATGTATGATAAAACGATTGAATGTAGGAATATTACTAATTTTTTTGGAAACTATGATTGTGGCTACAAATATTACTTAACAAAAAGTATAAGATTTATTTAAGTGGTTTTACAGATCACATTTAATTGTCATCATCATTATTAGTGCACTCTCATTAACTCTCATTAATAGGCCCAGATTATGTCTAAAGTAAAAAGTATTTTTGTATAATAGCTAATATAGCTAATGGTATTCATATATTTGGTAATGCTAGTGCCTCATAGTATGTTAGAAATTAAAGTATTTAGCGATATCCCCCTAACTAAAGCTATGTTTGAAAAATTAAAAACGAAATTCTATCAAATGGTTACAGTATATGTTAAAGATCTTGAATATTTATCCAATATTTCTCGTTTAAATAAAACTTACTATCTATCCATAAATTAAAATTAAGCAACCACAAAAATAATTTTACCTCTTTGTTATACTCTTTGTTCACTAGCCTCATTTACGCAGTTTTGCTCATTAAGGCCGTTAATAAGAGTAATTCACCATACAAAAAGCTTTCATATAAATGAATTCATTATAAATAAATCAAGTCATTTAAGACGAAAAATATCGAATGCAATTCTTAAAAATAAATTTCTCACAAGTGAAAATTTGAAATGTTTGTTTTATATTTTACATGTAAAATGTAAACAAATTATCTATTTCACATGCATAAATCAGATTATGCCAATGGAAACGACTAAATCTTAATTACATTAACATAAGTATTTATAGCTGTAGTGGAAACATGATATTAGTAAGTTGCAAAGAATTATTTATCGTTTCTTACATATTGTCCATCATTCATTTTACTGTAACTTAGCCGAAGTCTTTTAAATGACTGTCGGAATATAAGATTTACTTATTTTACTTTATATATTTTATAATATAGAATAACTAAAATAAATATTGTAATAATATGTAATTAAGTGTTAAGATTTAACACTTATACTTTGGTATATGTAGTATAGATTTAATTATCACAAATTGATTCAGATTCATTTAGTTTTCTGAACAGCAAACTTTTTCAACTTAAATTATTTAAATATATTAAATACTTTTGAAGTATAAAAGAAAGGAATAAAAGAAAGAAATGCTTCATAACAAGCATTCCTTTGCATATTTCTTTTATTATTTTACGCTTCCCTGGGGCAATTTTTCTCGTCAAGAATATGCAATTTTGCAATAGCTCCCCTAGTGTGATTTTATTCCTATTAAAGAGGATTTAATATATAAAAAGTTTGCAATAATGCTGTTGATATGTGTTTTTATAATTATAAAATAATTGAAAAATATTTAAATTTAAGAAAAGTTTACATTAAACAATTAAAAATTAAACAACATCTGTCCATCACTTGTTTAATTTGTAATATACAGGAAATATTTCCAAATTAGCTTCACATAGTTAAGATAAAAGCTGTTGTTTATATATTTTGATACTTTTTATATATCCGTCTTTACGAATATGTATATATATGTATAACATATAAATATGTTTAATTTGTGAGATAAAATGTTATTTCATATAACTCATCAGCTACGGAGAGAGAGATAAAGATTATATTTGAAATCTATTGGCTTTATACCTTTCATACGGAACTGAGCATAAAAATGCTATTTAAACTTTCCGACTACTGCAGCGTGTCCCAAGCAAAACGAGAAAGTTTTGCCATTAAGGCAATTAAATCATACTGGTCATCATCCAAAAATGCTCTAGAATGCAAGAAAACTATAGCCAGACTAACCTGCAACTCCAGACTTTGTATGTACTGGATTCCTGGTTATAAAGGTATAGAGGGAAATGGGATAGTTGATGCTATTGCTAAAAATGGCGCAAAATTTTCAGAGGAATAAACTTGCGAAATACTAAGACCTTTCAGACCACCTTTAGAATAGCTAGGATCATGTGTAGACACATATACGAGGAAAAGTACACCAAGAATGTTATATCGTCTACTGGAAGATTCTGTAGAACATTAATTTGTGTATTGACAGGTCATTGTCTGGTTGCACCACATGTGTACTAACTAAACCTAATTCACAGCGATGCTCGAGAACTTGACAAAAATACTTGAGACTGTCAGTTTTACTGGACTGGAGCACATACCTGAGGTCTTTGTTAAAAACCAGATAAAATTCGCTTCTAACACCCACATTCTAAGCGATGCACCCTATCGTTTAAAATTAAGACTCTGATCTGGTATCACAATGGACCTTAATGGTGTACGCGTGGCCTTTTTAGTCTGCCAGCATAACCTAACCTAACCTTCTTTTTGTCTATCTAGTAAGAAGTTTAGAAAAAACAACTTCACGATAATCAAAGAAAATAGAAAATTATAAATTCCGCTTAGTTTTTGAATAGAGGCTATAAGAAAAATTGACTAAATTAAAATTTATTCAATATAAATTTTAAAAATATAATAAAGTTTTATTAAATCAGATTTGTAGTCTAATATTAAGAGACAATTAAACCAATTACATTGTCAAAATAAATAGTAATAGCTATTCACAACGCGGTATTCACAACTACTTTATGCTCAGCCCTGGTCGTTTTACTGGATGTGGAAACCAAAAATTAGTTCTCTGCTAAAATTATTTTTTTACTTTTATTTCTTCTATATATAAAGTTTTTTAACTATTTCAACAATTATTTTTAATATAAAATACTAAAGAGATATTCAAATAATTATTATATTTTTTGAATAAGTTAATTTTAATATTAATTATTTTTATCATCAATATCTAAAAATACTTATTAACTGTGAAATTTTATTTCAGATGAATTGTTGAAACTAATACATTCAAAATGAGAAATATATAAGACATATATTATAAATATTTATAAATAATGATGTGACATCAAAACAATATTTTACACGATTTTTATTTGTGGCCAAAAATTAAAATTTAAGAAGTTTTGAAAAATTTTTCACGTGATACAATAAAAATTTCAATCCAATGTCTTTTGTACGGCAAATTTTTGGCACAACTTCAAACTTGGGTATACGAGCCATTATAATTTTAATGCTAGTTTGGGCATTTCTTGTCTATGCTTTTGTATCAAAACTTAACGCTCAACCAACATTCGAGCCAGATGTTACCGCCAAACGGATTAACGAAGCGCTGCAGTTACTGGAACATTCGAAGCAACGCAATGAAGAGCTAAGACAAATGATTGACGAACTTTTAAGGTAGGTTCTAAAACAAAGCTCTGTTATATTTTTAAATTAAATATAAGATTATAAAATATATTAAATATATAAATATACAAAAAAATATTTAAAAAGAATGAGAGGGATTAGATTAGAGATTGGATTGATTAATTAATAGCAACTCGATTTTACAGCAAAAAAATCTAATTTTGTTTTTATGTTATATAAAATTAGTGCTGCAATTTAACAAAATAATGCATTTATATAGCACTTTTTTTGTATTTGCTATAAGAATAGTAAAGCAAGTGAGTTGCTGTTGAGAAAAAGCTACATTTGATATTAAATATATAAGCCAGTGATTGTTGTTTAGCATCACCAATGTTGTTTGCATCCTTCAAGCTTAACGCCTGGTACTTACAATATAGAAATTATATATGAACCATTAAAATCGATAAGCTTTTCCATAGCTAAAAGATAGTTTGCAATATCCGATACAGTTATATGGTCAATCAAAAAATTAGCTTAAAAATTAGTTTTTGCGGTAATATATTTTTACATATTTTAGCACAATAGTAAAAAGAATGCATTACTAAACCTACACTATTTTATATGTTACTAGCATTGCCAGTACAGTCCTAACTCGATCAGTCAATCTATACTGGCGTTTGATAAAAGCATCATCAAACATTTCATCGAGAAAATTATTATTAATGTAATATACACTGACGGGAGTATATCAATACTGACTGATATATAAAAGACAGGACTTTTTCTCAACTTCTTCTCAAGACTTCTCAAGAAGATGGGCGACTGATGAGAGCAGTATGCGCTGTTGTAGTTTAATTTATTGAAAGTGCTTGAAATTAGTTTGGAGACATGATGTGCTTTTAAATTAAATAATATAAAATTAAATAAATTTAGTTGTGAAAAGATAAAAGTGGTGAAAGAAATTGTTTGATGGTAATTATTACATAATTAATTAGGTTGGTTAAGGTGCGCTGATTCTGAGCAGTCTCAAAAATAATTATTTACGAATAATTAAATACAAGAATTATTTCCAAGACCACTGATGATGGGTATTTGGCAATTTTCAAAACAGCTGTATGGTCAGCCAAAAATTCAATTAATTAAAATAATATAAAATGAATTTTTGTTGTTCTAGTTCACTACTGTTCGAAAAAACCTCTTTATAATTAATTAATGAATATTAAATATATTTATTACAAAATATTTTAAAACCGTAAAAATATTTTTGTTTTGGTGAAGAATCGTTTACCACGATCTGAATTTATTTACAACTCCGTCTTAATGAAGTGAAAAAGCGTCTAAATCTTAGTATGGATTATATTCTTTGTGTCTATTTCGCCTTATTGCTTACAGAGTTTGTGGAGTATACTGGTAATGCTCGGACCTCACAATGGAGTATAATATTTCTAGAACAAGCTGTGCTTAATATTATTGAGTGGTAAATAATGTACACTACGATTATAATGATCTATTGTACTGTGTCAACTGATTATTATGTTTTTAATAAATGTCAATATCTCTAAGAGTTCTGTTTTGTTCAAAGGGGCAACAACTCAGTCCACACGATAAATTCAGTTGTTTTAATATCCATTTCACAAAAGCGGAAAATACTGGTATCTATTCGAATCATATTGTTTAGAGTTAGTGCTGAGATTTTCGATAAACTCTCTGTGCATTGCAAGAAGTCTACTTGAGACTAGAATAGTTGGATTTACAAATAACTTACTCTGCTTTTCGTCTTCAAGGTTTATGCAGTAATATTTAAATTACGATTCTTTCCAATATCTGTATTTTTATCTCAGTAGAACTCAGGTTCAATTGAATGACGTTGAGCTATTGCTTGACGAGAGAGTCAGATATTTCGTAGCCATTGTATCCTTAGACTTAATGCAGATAGATGCGGACACTTGGCCACAGGTTATTAAAAGAAAATGTATGAGGCAGTTATCTAGCATTTATGAATATTATTGTTATTAAGTCTTACGTTTTTCTAAAATTTGGAAACAAACTTGATTTCTTGATAAGTATCTTACAAGTTTATTACTTGGGATTTTTATGTATCTCAAAACAATTATTCGAATGTTATTAAAGAGTAGAATAACACCTTTAGTTATAGAAGTCAGTTCTCTATATATTTTATTTAAATATATTTTGAATTGTATCAATAATATATTAACTTCACAATTTTGTTTAGTCATAATAATAGTAGTTAATAATAATAGTAGTAAAATATTGAAAATAGAGCATGTGTGTGTTGTTACTCAAGCAAATTATTTGCACCTGGATGGTTTTCATCGCACTCTAAAAATAATCATTTTTAAAATTAAATATTTTATAATTACCACGATATTATATTTGCACAGTGAATAATAAAATACCAATATAAATATAACAAAAATAGTTTGTGAAATATTAATAAAAAAGGAAGAAATGTGTTGTTCATAATAATGCGTCAAACCAACAAGTTTCGATAAAAATCAATAATAATTTAAAATTTTTTTCTTTTATTAATTGCAGTGATCAAGTCGATAAGCAATCTGCTCAAAAATTAATGGAACGACTTGAATATAATATACAAAATTCCATAAATGGTTTTGGAGACACTGATGGAATTTTAAAAACAAAAGATTCACTTACATTTAATGATATATCTCATGAACCTAGTTTAGAATATGAGTTAACACGAAGACGTCTACAAACCAATATTGGTGAAATTTGGAGCTATTTCAGTAATGAATTGGGTAAAATACGGAAAAAAGTCGCTAAGGTTTTACCGGAGTTAGAGACAGAAATCAACGATGTATTAATCTTAGGTGCAGAGCATAAGCGATCTCTGCTAACCGATATGGATACTTTACGAAAATCTGATGGCTATGAATTATGGCGTCATCAAGAGGCTAAAGATTTAAGTGATTTAGTACAACGTCGTTTATATTATTTGCAAAATCCAAAGGATTGTAATAATGCTCGTAAATTAGTATGTAAATTAAATAAGGTTAGTATATCTTATTATATATCAAAGAAAAATATACAAAATTTATTTTCATTTATTTTGTTTATAGGGCTGTGGATATGGTTGCCAGCTACACCATGTAGTATATTGTTTCATTGTAGCTTATGCTACTGAACGTACTATGATATTAAAATCACGTGGTTGGCGTTACCATAAAGGTGGCTGGGAAGAGGTATTTCAACCTGTCTCAAAAACTTGCTTTGATGCTGATGTAGCACATGCAAATAACTGGCCTGGTAAGCGCGATACACAAGTTTTAGTATTGCCTATTATTGATTCACTGATGCCACGTCCGCCCTATTTACCATTGGCAATACCAGAAGATTTGGCGCCTAGACTTAAACGTTTACACGGCGATCCAATTGTATGGTGGGTTGGTCAATTTTTGAAATATTTATTAAGACCCCAACAGGGTACACAACAGTTCTTAGAAGCTGGTCTGACCAAACTTGGCTGGAGAAAACCAATTGTTGGGTAAGTACAATATTTAATATTTATCAAAAAAAAAGAAAAAAATGAATATGTAATGTTTAACGCGGCTTTAATACTTATAACTATAATTTTAAAAAAATTTATTTACAGAATTTATTATGTTTGTTTTTATATTCTATTTAAGTTCACGATACATATCAACATTTTTTTTATATTAATTAAATTTTTTCATATGTCACAACTTAATATTATCAATATTAACGAAACTTTATTATATATTAGTCTTGGAGTCCTTTAATACTGATAAACATGCAATGTAATCAGTTGAAATTTCTTTACTATAACTCTACTTATTATATCCAATTGTTGGAGCATTACTGACATTATTATATTAAATTAGCGCAAAAAGCAGGGTTTCTAAAAGGCCGGTACATGCCATTAACACAATGATATTGATTTGAAAGATATAAGTACCAGTTTCTGAAGTACTGGCCCGGGCCATTAACACCATAATAACATTGTTTTGAAAGATATATGTACCAGTATCTGAAGTACCGGTCCGGGTCACTAATATCATGATATTATTATTTTGGAAGATAATAGTACCGGTTCTTGCAAAATACATTGAATATTTTACCAGTCTTTGTGAAATATATTAAATATTTTTCCGGTTCAAATAACGTTTTGGATTGAGAAACATAACCATACATAGCTTAGTTGTACGCTTACCAGATGAGTTCAAATTAACTTAAAAGCCAAACTATAAAAATTATATTATTTAGTACTTTAAGGAATTGTATTCTCTCTTCAAATAATGTGTTTAAAATTTCATTGTAATGAATTCGTTAAATACTCCTTATGGTGATTCAGAGTTTCAACATATTGTGCGTTGAAATAAACACATAAATTTCATAATGGATATATTGGGTTTAGCGGCGGAAATTCAAAATTCCTTCTGAAGTAAATAGAGCATATGATTTCATTCATAGCGATCACAGATAAATCATACAAAACAAAGTCCAAAATAACTGAGGCACACATGAAAGAGATATTAAATCTATACCGTACCATATTCTTCAATATGGCATACTGAGTTCTTTCTGTGCTGAAATTTTTAATAGAAGATGATAAGACTCAACGATATGCAGGCATCTGTATGCAATCTGGCCACTCTCTACTAAAAGGAAATCCCATATTCTCATTAAGATGTCCCATAGAGATATCATTCTTATGGTAGGTTTATTTATAGATCACTGCACACTAAGAAACTATGTTAGAAGATTGAATCTCCCTTTGAATCCTACCTGTTGCAGCTGTTGGCAAGACGATGAGAGTGCCTCTTATCTGTTCTGTATTTGCCCAGTTCATGTATAGGAGCGACTCAATACTTTAGGAGCCCCTTTTCTTCAGGATCTTGACCAATTATAAGACCTGCCACTAAATAGCATTTTAAGCTTCACTAAAGGTTCTAGATGGTTTTAAACCCTGAGTGTTCTGTAATATATACTGTAATACAATAGGCCAATAGGTCTAAGTGGATCCCCTAGGGATCGCTAGTATAACCTAACCTAACATAAATATGGCAACTCCATCTAGTGGCAAAATTAGTTAATATGGACATATTGTTTATCTTTGTATCTATTTGATTTTCATTTATTTAACTCTTTGTTTTGCATATATATTATTTAGCTTTCTTATATCACCTGTTAAAAGTTTATTTAAAAATTTTCTTAACAATTTTTTTTTTCATATATCTTTTCCATATCCTTTATATCTATCCATTAATATTTAGTTACTTCACTATCCATTTGCTTAACCAACGTTGTGTTTCATATAATTTTCCAGTTACATTTAAAATATTGTTATAAATATTTTTTGCAGTGTACATGTTCGTCGTACTGATAAAGTTGGCACTGAAGCAGCATTTCACAGTATAGAAGAATATATGACTCACGTCGAAGATTATTTCTTAACATTAGAGATAAATGGTACCATAGTTCCACGAAGAATATTTCTTGCATCCGATGATGCACGTGTTATTGATGAAGCACGAAAAAAGTATCCCCAATATGAGATAATTGGTGATTCAGAAGTAGCACGCTTGGCAGCTGTATCAACGCGTTACACAGATACTGCACTAAATGGTATCATATTGGACATACATCTGCTCTCCATATCCGATTTCCTCGTTTGTACATTTAGTTCTCAAGTTTGTCGTGTGGCATATGAAATTATGCAAACATTATATCCAGATGCGGCAAATCGTTTTAAATCGCTGGACGATATATATTATTATGGTGGACAAAATGCACACAATCGAAGAGTCGTTATAGAGCACAAAGCACATAATCGTGATGAAGTTTATATGAAAATTGGAGAATTAGTTGGAGTGGCTGGAAACCACTGGGATGGTTTTTCAAAAGGCAAAAATACACGCACAAATCAAGCGGGCTTATTTCCGTCATTTAAGGTAGTTGATAAAGTAGAAACTGTTAAATTGCCAACATACCCAGAAGCTTAGAAATATTAGAAAATATTCTATTTTACTTTGATATTGCTTTTATATCTTTAACTCTTTTTGTAATTAGGAAAGTATAATTTAATTGCAACCGCTATTTCTGGGGAATAGTGATCTCTCTAAAAAACAATTTCAAAATAATATTATTTATATAAAACTATTGATATATAATTTATTAAGTGCAATAATTTTCACTATATATATTATAATTATATTTCCAATCTTATATTCAAGTCTTTACGAAATGCACAAACAAAATTAACTTAATTGTAATAAATATTAAAATTGATATTGTTTATATTCCAATAAATGTGAATTATACTATAGTCTGAAAAAAATAATATAGAATATGAGTTATTGTACCGGCCAAAGCATTACACTTGTAAATTACAGATATTAAAAATACTGTTATTTTTTGGATCTGGAATAAATTTTGTTATTTTGTAAGTTTTTAATAATCGCTATTTTATTGTTAAATTTTTTTTTAATTTTTAACAATACGTTAATACTATCTCAACACATTTTTAAAATTAGTTTGTTAATTGTGTTGCAATTAGTCGAATTTTTTATATATATGTGCTTAAGATAATCACGTCAAATCAGCACAATTATCCACTAATTGCGTCAAATCAGCACAATTATCCACTAATTGACTTCATTAAGAAGAATGCTGGTTCGAAACAAGCCAATGTGACATGGAAATTTATTAAATATAAAAATTAGTTCTCACTTGACCTTTTTTATAATATTTGCTTTTGTGTTTTGTTTCGCTCTTTGTTAATTAAGTTGTTGTAGTGTGAACACTTTACAAGTAATACTAAATGAGATCTGCTAATCACAATATAAAGTGTAAGCCTAATTTAAAGAAGCAACAACTTTTTTTGTTGGAAATATTCAACTATACTTATATGAACGTTGATAACCTACGCACAAACAGAACTACTTATTTATGTTATGTTGCTAGTTTGTTGTATTCACACTCCTTTCTAAAGAGAGAAGTTTTTTAATTCAAGTCCATAAAATTAATTTTTTAATCAAGCTAATGAGAAACTGTAAATAAAGTGTAACGCAAAAATTATATTTTTTAGTCCACATAATCAGAGCTTCATAAAAATCTGTGCTGTATATGTTATTGATATTGCTATATCTGGGATTTTTTAAATTGTATTTATTTAAACTATATTAGTAATTTATATATTTTTTTACTCGAATTATGTTGAATCTCTTCATATTATATTGAATATATATTTTTGAAATATTTTTTATCCAATAAGTTTCCAAATATTGCAAATACAATTTAACAATATGAAGTGTTAATTATGGTTTTAAAGTTTATATTGCCAATTTGAACAATTAAATAAAGTAGCATTTTAAATATAAGTTAAATGTTAATATTTTTAGTAAAAAAATTAGCATTAGGATCAAAATATTTGAACAATTTTTGCCTTTTGCTTTGCCAACAACTGACCACAGTATAAACCAAGAGTTGTGCTTTTGACAATTGTATTAAATTAAAAAATTATCCTAAAAAAATAAGATTAGCTTATGAAATTTTAATTTTCAATAATTCACTTACAACAATCAGTGTTCTATTTCGCACTATCCACTTAAACAAATTTTCTGCATTCAAACAAATTTCGTATGAACCACAAAGCAACATCGTTTTTATTGCAAAGTTATTGTTTTTTTTTTAGTAAATAGCTTTGACATGTACTTTGTTGCTACTTATTCTTCTTTTGTGCTGCTTAAAAAGTAGCAAAAACAAAAAAAAAATAAATCCCAAAAGTTGAAGAAAACAGAACAAAATGAATAATTTTGCCGTTAGTTTTGTAAATTTTATAAACATTTTTGTATAAACATTTTATATATTAAATATAAATTCGTAAAAAATTATTTTCAAGCCAATAAAGTTTTACAATCCCGATAGTGAGAGGTTATCAGTAGAGTAGGTTATAACATTTATAAAAAAAAATAATGTACAATTCTCTAAAAACAATTAAATAATCTTTATAACATTCAAATAAAATACGAAGTTGGTTTGGCATAGGTAAAAGGTACAGTACCGAAAATTATCTCGTATTTGAACAAATGCAATAATGCACGTTATTATTAAAAATAAGTTATAAATATAAATATATAAATAAAAAAATTATGTATTGTAATAGTTACTTTAAGTAGTCACGAAAAATATAAAGCAATAAAATGTAAAATAAAACAAGTACTTATGTTGTTTAGTCTGTAATACTTTGTATGAGAACATTCCCAATGGACAGATCCAAAATTTTAGCTTTGGTTTTTTAGTATTTTGATTATTTTGCTGTTGTTGTAGTTTTGTAGTTTATAGAAATTGAAAGATAATAATAACTTAAATCTAAGTAGTCAACTGAACTTATCTTATTAGTACCCTTCAAAAAATTTACTACTACTGTTATTAGGTAGTTTCTTAACATTCGAATGGAGGAAAGATGAAATAGAAACCGAGCCAGAAAGAAAAATGAATACCAAAGGACTGAAGGACACTATCTTTGTAAAGGCAATTATAATTCAATGCCTGTTAGATCAATACACTTCTTTTGCGGCATTTGACCTTTGCGCATTTTAATCGTCTGTCATCGAATGGCACCTGTTAAACATCTTTATGCAGAATCAAAAATGCTAATTGTGAAAGTGCATCTATCTTCTTTGTTCCGTTAACTCCCAGTGAAGCAAGTGAATATGCATAATCACTTGACCATTAACCATTCCTGCTTGCCATAGAGATGGATATCAAACAATTAGAAGAATCCTTTTTTCCCGTTGCATTCAGCTATCTTCGTATCACGAATATATCGACACCTTTTGCAACAATGAGGAGCCCGTACATCGATACGGCTTATCAATAGGTCTCTGCCTGTTTAATTTAAAGGAACGAAATTGACTTTCACGTGAAACAAGGATTTAAATAGTAATAAAATTAAACAGAATTGGAATTAAGGGGATCATTGATGCCGAAGGGTAGTAGACAGGAGAGCGCTGATATACTGAAGTGACAAATAAGTTTTCTTTTTCCTTGGAGTGTTACATTTTCATGCAAATTAATTATGAATTAATAAGAGGAATGTAAATAATATCCAATTTGTTATAAATAGTTTGCTTTAAGCGAAGTTCGTTTTAAGTTAAAACCAAAACATAATCGTTTATTAAAATTATGTACGTACTTTCTGAATTGTTTTGATTTAAACAGATTTTTTAAAACAGGTTCGATTTACCCTAAAAGTAGTAAGTACACTTATGTTACGGCTTCAAATTAAGTTTAGATATAATAAGGTTCTAAGCAGCTATTTATAAATAACTTTATTTCCAATATATGATATTTCTTTATCGATACCTCTCATGACATCTTCTCCATCCTTTTAACTCTCTCCAAGCATTCACAAATTTGTGCCCAATTAATCTGTTTATTTGTCCCATCAATGTGTTAAAATTCCTTTAACTTGATTTTTACTTATTTCAATACTACCAACTATTACATCTACCCGTCTTTTGTCCTCATTCATATTCTAATTTTTGCTTTTTCATAATAAATAGAATATCATATCAATCAATGTAAATATATACCTAGAATAAAATTATTCCTATATTAAAATTAACAAGAGCTTCTATTAAATTATTTTATTCATTTAATTTTTGTTTACATATATTATTTATATCGTTGTTATTTAAAATTTTATTTTAATTTATTAATTAAAAAGTTAAAAACAAAAACAAAGCGTTTTTAATAACAATTGTTAACTATAAAAACAAAAATTTTTAAAAAACAGAATTTTGCTAAAGTGCTTTAAACTATTTTAATATATTTTAATTAGTGTTTAATTTTCATTTTAATATATTATAAATAAACTTAAATTGTACATTTAGGAGTATATTTCTTCGAATTATAGTAATAATAATTAATATTAAATATAAATAATATTATAGTATTTTATCTAAACTACACTTAATAATTTTAACATTTGTGTGTGCACCGAAACGTTCAGCTAATATAAAAAATCTTTATATTAAGATTTTTCTTTTAAACTTCCTAAAAATTTTGAAAAAAGTACTACAAAGCATTTTCAAAAATGAAAAACAAAAATTTAAATAAATATTTAAATAAAATTAACATGTTACAAATTACTATACGACTTATTTAAATAAAATACAATAAATTACATGTTTAAAATAAAATTATAAAAAGCACTAAAAATTAATAGGATGTTTTGCTTTCTTGCACTAAACCTAAGCAATCATTTATACAATTTACAAAATGTAAATCATAATATGCTTAATTTTTATTATCTTTATATATTATATATGTATATATTTGTAATTAAGCTCAACTTTTTATTTGGAACTAACAACAGAATTTTAATAGAACTATAAAATTTTTCTCAAAAATAATTCTCATACTTTATGATCATTAAATTTAATTAGTTTTTTTTTTTTATTATTATTAGTTAAGCTATCGGCTTAGGTTATTTATATATAATGCATGCAATTCGGTTCTTGGAGTATTTTCGAAGAGAGCTGCACGATTTTGACCTTCTCCCTTCTTTACCCAGTGACCATAGACCCTAAAGGCACAGCCATCAATAACCTGTAAAAAAAACAATATATTTTATAATATAAAATAAAATTAATTTTCATTAAATTTGAGCTTACCTTGCGCAGCACTTTAACCCTGTATGGATCCCGTATGGCATCCTCCACATGCAGAGGCTCAGCTGTATAACGCAGGCGTCGTATTCTTATCATGGCACGTACCACCAATATAACATATTGGAATTTTTTGCGTGCATTGAAACGACTTTGTTTCCGCAACTATAAATTTTGTTTTCAAAGAGAAAAATATATTTTTTATATTATTTTAGGTGCACTTTTTTTATAAAGTTGCTGGTATTAATTTTCATTAAGTTTTCTGGAAATTTCTGGAGAGCTAAAGTTTGCTTTTAACAAAATATACAGTCAGATTTATTAAAGTCAGTATTAGAAAGATATTAAAATAGATCTAGATTTAGTAGGACTTCCCTAGATATATGTAGTACTTATAAAATCATATAATGTATTATTTGTATTAACATTTTGCTACAGATATTGGTGAGATTACAGAATCTTACAAGGTTGTGGTCTGGATTTAGTAAAGAATCACCCGTAAGATCGTTAAATTGAATATAAAGAAATTTATATTAATGCAGATAGGAAAGATGAAGTTCATAAAGATATTAATTATAATAAAATACTAAATAACAAGCTGATAATGGTAGTAAGAACTTAATATTTTACAATTCTCATTTGGTATGATTAAATAATGTACATCTATAGAATGAGATAATTATATTAATTATTGCTTATTGTACTCATATAAGTCAAAAAATTTTTATTGGTTTTTAATTTCTATTTACTTTGACTAACCATTTTTGTAGAATATATACGAATGTACAGTATTTTTTGCTTGAAATCAATTTTCGGCTAAACCAAACCACATTTTTAATGACCAATAAATTCTTATTTAAAAACAAATCTGTGTTCAAATTAGACATGATTCGATACCTGGTACTTGCAGTTTAAAAATTCTACACGGTGATTGAATATTGCCAAAGTTTACTGGTCCGAAAAAAACTGTAGATTTAGGCATTGAATTTTGCATAATTTTAATCATTTATAGCATATAGCATATATTGTTATAAAAAAAATAATTTTTTTATATAAATTTTCACCTAAAAGGAACTATTGTTTTTGGTTCTTTAAAATTCGGTTAAGTGAAACTTACTGTATTTCTTTTTTATATTATTAAAGCTTGCAAAAAAAATGCGAAATAGTCTCCCTGAGGTATCTGAACCTTTTCTGTTTATTGAACAAATTAATAAAATTAACAATTGATTCCCTTTAGATATTCATTTTAAATTTTTACTGTTAAATGCCTGATATTGGCGGTTTTATATATAGAAATAACCAAACTATTATCTATATATACTATATATTATTTATTAATATATTAAAAATTATAAATCAATAAATGAATTCACTATTATAACTTCCCGCCATATCAATATTGCTAATTAGTTTAAGTAGACTAGGTGCAATTTCAATGAAAATATAAAAAAATAAATGAATTAAAAGTATAAATACATATTTAGAATTATCCAATGTTCATAATGACTTAAATATCCAATGATATGTAGAACACATCTTTATGATCATCAATTAATTTCAATTAATTTCTCTACTGAAATTGCTTACCAATCTATATAGATTTTTTCATAAGTCAATATTATTAATTATACTCGTATTATTTAATTTAAAATTTCTAATATTTTTAAATTTCTAAAGATATTTTTAATTCTTTTCGAATTGCATTATAAAAAAATTCCCTACCTAATTAAAGTTAAAGGGTCACCGTTAAGACAAACAACTTGTTCACTTTCCAGAAAGTTCCATATATAAAATATAAATAATTTTAATATATTTAAATATATAATGTACAAATAACAAATTCTAGGATGTTAGTTTTATATCATTTGTTTATATATGTGTGTATGTGTTCCTTTTTTCTACAATTACTGACAAAAAAAAACATAAGAAGACAGGACAAGGCAACATAAAATAAAGAAAAGCATAAAATACATATAACAATAAAATGAAAGTGCAAAGATAAGAAAAAATTAATATAAAACTTAAATAAATTATTTGAAACAAGCAAAAAATTATATTAAAAAATAATAACAATAAAAAGGAGTTTTGAAATGATTAATATTAAAACATAAAAAATTGCAAATAGAATTTTTCTTTTTAAATTATTTAAATAAATTATTTTGTTTTAATTTTTAATTAAATATAACTTTAAAATTATTTTAATAAAATTGTAGATAAGCAAAAGCGAAATAAGAAGTTAACATTTTTTTGAAAAGATTTTTACTTATTTATAAATAAAATAAATTTCGTATTTTTATATGTTTTTCAATTGATAGGTAAATTTTTATGTATTGACGTTACTCACAAAGCATTTTACACAACACCAACTTATAGTAGGTCTTATAAGGGCGTTGAGATTTTTTTTCACAAACTATAAAACATAAATATAAAATGGTAAATTATTTATATAAAGAATTTAATTAAATTAAAACGGAGGAAGGGTATATTTTAATAATAATAATAAAATAATTGTAACAAAAAAAAAAATATTACAAATCATATTAAAATCTATTTTATATTATTTACAACAACGATTGATATAAGGACACATAAATTCAAGGAAAAATCAAATTAAATTTTCATACATTTTATAATATAGTGTATATTTAATGCATTTTTTAATAAAAAATTTGTTTGCTTAAAGTGTTATTTTATATTTTTCTAATATAATGTTTATCAAAACTATAATTTCTTCAGAAATTATAAATTAAAACATTTATATATATATTGATGTCGCTAAAGGCTTGTGTGAATAAAATGAATAAAAACTATTAGTTGGTTTTTATTTCCTATATAAATAACGACATTGGGTAACTTATATTCCGTTTCACATAAGTCTTTAATAACATAAATAATACTGTTAAATAACTGAACTCGTTCGTAACTATTCCCAATTTATATATTTTTATATATATATTTTAATTAACCAAAAAAAATTTGTAAGTTTATATTAAGTAGTTATAATGTTATCTAATTTATATTTTGTTTTTATAAGATTTTTATTAATATTATTTTAGAAAATGTGTTGAGCTATAAAAAAATTGGATACCAATTGAAATCGAAATTATTGGATTCCACATTCATTTAAATACGAACTCCTTCAATATATTATATGATAAGCTTCCTTTGTTTCGGAATTCTTGAAACATTTGTGTTTAGGCCAAAAAAATTTATTTATATTGGATTTGATATAACCCTTGAAAATATTTCTTTTATATTAAAATAGGTTTTAGGGTAAACTTTTTCCATTGAAAAAGTTTATATCTGATTGCGATCTGTTAAAAAATTCGCTTATTATTAGAAAAATAGATAGTGTAACTTCTAAATTATAGTTAGAAATTTATATAAAATTTTTTTTTGTTTCCGAGCTACTATATTTCAATGTTTCATTAGACCTGATTTGAATTTATTAAATAAGCAAACAATTTTTATATTAAAAATTTAATTTTTGACTATATATGTACATTTTATTTATATTGTATTCTCAATCATATAAATGGAAATTTTTTCAATTCTTGGCATTTTAATACTTTTTTAAAATTAATTAATTAGTTAGTATTTTTTTATTAAGCTATTTGCTATTTCGTTATTGCATGATATCATATTAAACCAATATTGGTATCCTATAGAAAAACAATACCATAGATCTGCAGTAAAATTTAAAAGTTTAAAATTAGTAGAATTACAGAATTTCAAACTTTTCAGAATTTCATCAAGAATTTTTAATGAATAAAAGGCAAGAAGTTTTTTTTTTTAAACGAGTAACAATTCTTGTTTGTCTGACCCTCTAAAAACATACCTTTAAACGGTACGTCAACATAATTGGAATGTCTGGCACGTCTAGTCATCGTCCCGCTACAATAAATATTTATGTACACGTCCAAATTCAAATTGTCCCCATAACCTTTCAAACCGTCTCCTTTTAAACCATAAATCCCAAGTTAACAGGATGGATTTACAAGTGAGTTCTACTTTAAATAGCTTCCATTTTCTTATTAGAAACGCCAGGCCCCAATTATTGTTTTGTTATATAAAAATTCACGTTATTTACTCGACCTACCGGTAAGTGGTATTTTGTAGCACTAAAAAATATCAGAGATTTGATGTGCTTAGGAAAAGGTTTCTTTGTGAATGTGGTACATTCCATTCGCAATGTGGTATGTGTTTGTTGAAACCGAATTATTGTCTTAATTGGATTGACCGTATTGACAATAAATTATTTTGTTGTTGTAGTAGTCTGATGAGGTCTGTAAAGCAAATATAACTGCTTATGTAGTCCCTTTGTGGGTTGTTGAACGACGCTTGGTCGTCGAGGTCGATTAGTGGATCCGGAATGTTGACCCCGTTATCTGATGTTAAATATTTTTCAAACATTATATTTCTTTTAGTTAAAAGAAATTTAATTTCAAAAAAAACCTATAATTTTTCTTCTCTAAACTGTCATTCTAACTTATAAAGAAATATATTTAATATTAGTGTTAATTAATTAGTGTGTTTAAATATACTGCAGAACTGATATCATACCAAAAAAAAAAAGATTTTATTATTATTGTGGTATATTAAATTAATTAACATTGCAATGCATTAATGACGCCAGGCTTGGGTCTTTCAAGGACTGTTATGCTAAGGATGGTAAATGCATCCAGATTAAAATTATTAAGATTATTGATAAGTAATTATAGTCATGAGATTGCAGTGCTTGGAGTAGCGCACGTGTATAACTTAATATAACAATTATTAAAAATTATTGTTTTTTTTATAACAAAAAACTTTTAAAGTTAATAATTACAAAAAAACATTTTTGAAAAAATTTTTTTTTAAATTATTATTGGCTATTTTATAATATAAAAGTTAGTAAATATTAATAAAATAACATAACATAAATTTAGTGAAATGGTAGTGAGTACATTGTTCGTAGTAATATTATATTATATATACAATTTTTATATACAAAAACGAAAAGGTGCATATAATAGCTGAACTAATAATAATTAATTTTAAATACTATTAAATACTATTATAGCATAAAAAGTGCAGAAATAAATTGAATTCTTTCTACTATAAATCTAACAACTAAAATAATTTAATTAAAAAAATAAATACATAAATACATATGTAGCTTTAAGTCCTGTGATTAAGAAAGTATATTGTCTAATTAATGCCGTCGATGTAATTACAATGATAATAGAAGTAATATCCATCTGAACGTTATGAAAATCGAAAATTATAGAAAAATTTTGATAGAAACATGCCTGTTGTGCATTAAGAATTTGCTCTGAAAAATCAGCTGAAGTAAGGAATGTATTTTGCCCTGATTGCGGTTGCTGCTGGTGGTTTCGGATTTGATTTTGCTGTTGTTCTTGTTGGTAGGGCGTTCGAAACTGAGGTTGCATTCGCTGTTGTTGCTTCTCATATTGATTATATGAAGATGTCGTTGCCGTTGCCGTTGAACCAACAATACTGTTTGTTTGGAATGTATTACCTGCTGACACAGCAGGCAGTTTGGAATTATACCCTACATTATTATTAAGCAGATTTGAACTAATCGGCGTGCGATTAGTGGGTATCAATTTATTAAAATAGACCTTTAATGAGTAATTATTATTGGTAATATTATTGTTATCCGAATTGCGTATGCTTTGTGATTTAAGTTGATACGTAGTACGTCCATCGCTTGTCGGTTCAGGAAGTAAAACCTAAAGAAAAAAAATAAAAACAAACGAAAAAAAAAACAGAGAAGGAAGGCCAGCCAAATGGCAAATGAAGTGGAATTAGAAAAATGTGCACAAAATTTTATATCTATAATAAAATAATTTATATAAAAAAATTTTTATTTTATATGATTTACATGATAAATAACGTACGTATTTCATATAATCTAATATAAGCATGAGAAAATAAGCAATGAATATAAGCGCATGTAAGCAGTATGTTCTTAAGTAGGACTTTAGGACTTAATTGTAACTAAATATACAGGAATTAAGTTACTTTAAAATCTATATGAACCACCGACGATAGCACGAAAGGATACCTATATTTTTAAATGTTTTTTTTTTTGCTGTTCTAAGCAAATCAACATAACTACTATCACTTGCACTAAAGTATCTTCACAAGTTTTTAAATACTATCATTTAAACCATATCTAGTAATCTCCTCCTATAACACGGTACCTTTAAACCACGTTTTCATATTACGCGATTTCAATCCTTCGTATAACACGGGCATTAATCCATATAATGCGGGGATTTTTACAGTTCATAATTAGCTTCGCGTACGGGAATACTCCTATAACGCGTCACCAATCTACCGCGTTATAGGGGTGGATTACTATATTAACCTAATACTTTCTATATATGCACCTTCAGATTTGATGTTTTTTTTTTACAAATGAATTATATTAGGTATTAGTAGTTTCGTATTTGTTAAAGAAAGTATAGAGGAAAAGAGTTAACATGCAAACTAACATTTAAAGTAAATAGTAAGCAAGTAGTAAGTAAGTAATCAAGTCATGCAATTTTATAAAAGAAAAACAAATTCAAAATACAAATTATTTCACTACTTCGTTTTAAGGACGAGAAGACAAAACTCAAATAACAACTAAATAGTACAAAGCAAAATTCAAAAGGACGCACAAAATATTTAAAATGAAAATTAAAAATTTAAATCAAAATAAAATTAGGAGAAAATAAATAGAAAAAAAAGTTCACAATCACTCTTTTTTTAATGTTATCGAAACAGTAGTTTTGTGTCCAGAAACGTTTCGTTACCAGTGCAATTTCTGTGATACGACTCATTCTCCTAGATTTGGTCGATAAGCTGCGCTTAAGTCCATCTATATTTTGCTCGAATAACTGTGCACACGCGTTTTTTACACGAGACAAATGAATTTTTAAAACAAAAACATTTTTAAATTTTGAACAAAACAATTGCATATTTTCGATGTAATTCAACAAAACGAAAATTAAAAAAAAAAATAATTAATTATATTTTAAATAATCATGTAAATTATATTTTTTTTGTTGGTGGTTTCACATAAGTAGAGCGTAGAAAAAAGAAAAAGAAAGAATAATTAGGTTAAATTATAAAATAAAAAAAATGTCATCATAAAAATAAATGAAGAATTATTGATATTAGAACCCAAAATTCAATTTATAAATTTACTATATTCAATACAAAGTATGGATGTATGTACTACGGCTAGAAGAAGACTAATATTAAATTTAAGAAATTTACAAAATTTTGAAAAATATTTTATGTTTGCAAATGTTAAATATATGTGAAAATTATATACTTTTTATTTAATATATGTAAATAGAATATGTGTACCAATTGTTCCAATATGTATATATATAAGTTCGCATTATTGCTATGTAATTCCAAGCTTACCATTTGATTGAAGAATGGATGCCTTAAGACTTCCTTGACTGTGATTCTTTGCGCGGGATCTACGACTAGACATTTCCGTATTAGATCTTTGGGATCCTCTGTAAATTTAAATAAAATTTATTAAAAATATTTCTTATTTTTTTATATATAAATATAGATCTTATTTCAAATAGGGTAATAATAACTAAAATATAACTTTTTTTATATATAAATATAGATCTTATTTCAAATAGGGTAATAATAGCTTAAATATAACATTTTTATAACATTTATAATGTTATATAACAAATATAACATTATATAAATATAGTTATTATTTTAAATAGGGTAATAAATATAACATTTTTCTATATATAAATATAGATCTTATTTTAAATAGGATAATAATAGCTAAAGTATAACATGTTTGAAAAAATAGCCTGGAACTACAGGAACAAAATAGTTTATAAAAGTGGCACTGAAATTTACAATTAAAAAAACTATAATTAATATTATTTTAATTTTAATTTTATATTAATTTTTATTAATATAATATTAATTATAGATCTTATTTCAAATAGGGTAATAATAGCCAAAAAATAACATGTTTAAAAAAATGGCCTGTAACTACAGGTACAAAAAAGTTTGTAAAAATGGCACTGAAATTTACAATTAAAAAACTATGATTACTTAATTCAATTATTCTATAGCTGGCTAATGATTTTATTCTTATTTAACACAGCAAGTAAATTTGTTGAAGAACTTTCATAGTAATTTAATAAAACTCCAAGTTTGAACATATGTACAAATCAAGTACGGCTCTGGGTCAGTTGATTAATGAACGTTGACTCTGAGCTTCAAATTTGGCAGGGCATGAAATTAATCCTTGAAGTCTCAAAAAATTATATACGAATAAATAAATATGTATTAGAAATATTTCCAAAAACACCACTGATGGTAGGTATTTAGCAATACTCGAAGAAACAGTTCTGCGATCAGGCAAAATTTCCATTTATTACAAATAAAGTTTTGTTGTTTCATTCAAATAAAATAATAAACTTTCTATTAAATGTTATTTATGTTATTATGATATTTATATATATTTAATAAATCAAAAATATAATATCAACTAATAGTTTTTTAGAGGCTTAATGGACCCAATGATCGCAATGCTACATTCACTCATAATAATAAAGAATTTTTTATCTATGATAAAACATTTGCAAATTAGATCTTTGAGATACTCTGTAAATATATTATAAAATTTTCTGTTTTACTGAAGCTTAAAATACAAAAAGTAAAATTGAAATGGGGCTATTATTTATGTTGTTAAACGTTTATGCTACTTATATATACAATAAAAAATAAATAATATTTCTTTATATAACTTAATAGCAAAAAACTAGTTTTATATAAATAAGTAGATGGCAGATAGATGCCGGTTTTTAGACCCCTTTTCATGCATAAGTTTTAATATAAATTTTTGGTGGTGTAATTTTACGCTATTATTTAAACAACTAACCTGATATATCAGCCCATTCGGGTGATGTAAAACTATATTTGCCTTCCATAATATTTCGAAGCATTACCATTTGTTTGCGATGCCAAAATGGCGGACAACCTACCAGTAATGTGAACATAATTACACCACAAGCCCAACTGAAATAAATTATTGTAAATTAATAACATTGTAAATGTTATATTATAGTATATTATATTGTAGTATAACTTACATATCAACTTCTTTGGAATAACCAGGAGAACCTTCGAACATATTACACTTCAGTGTTTCTGGCGCTAAGTAACCCGGTGTACCACAAAGATCTAAAACCATTCATTTTTTATTAATATAATATTAATATAATAAATATTTAAACAATTTTGTTATTATTTATGCATACCTGATAATTTTTCACCTTCTTTAAGAAGTCTTGCGAAACCGAAATCTGTTATTTTTACATTATGATTTTCATCTAATAATATATTTTCAGGTTTAAGATCACGATGGACTATATTTTTTGAGTGTATATATTCAACGCCTTCAAATATTTGGCGCATTATTGTTCTAGTCTTTTTCTCCGATAATGTAACTACAGAAGTAAGATAATCAAATAATTCACCCTTCGGACATAATTCAAATACTAAGAATACAAAAGCATCTGATTCAAAGACATCTTGTAAATCGACTGTAATTATATAATATTATTAAATCAATATATATATATTAATAAATTTATATAAAAAAATAATGTAATTACTTATATAGGGATGCCCCATAACTTGTCTGAGTATTGAGATTTCTTGTCTTGTTGCTTCGAGCATGTGATATGGATTTGTTTCTCCAGCCTCAGTGGCTGCACCCAAATCAATGATTTTTGCAGCAAATTCCTTACCAGTTTCCTTCTCAATGCAACGACGTACTGTTGAGCTGATGCCTCTGTAAATATCAAGAGGAGTAATGTTGTAGTTTATTCTTAAGATAATGAAAACGATTTTATATAAAATAACTTAGGCTGCTTAGTATTCAGTTGACGTTACAATTGTTTTTTTTTTTTTTTTCAACGTATGAATACCTATTAAAGTTTTGCCTGTAAAGATCTACAGTTCTTTTAAACTATACAGTATTGTTAAATATAAAAAAATAAATAAAATTTTATATAATAGAAAACAAAAAAAAATATTTAAGAAAAATTTTATTTTTACATAAAGAACTAAGAGTTAAGGATTTTCATGATTTGATTATGTACATTTGAATAACTTTTTAATAAATAATTAGTATAGATTTATCTTACAATAAAAAAAATAATCATTTAAATGCATTTAATTGATATTTGATATTAAACCACAATTTTTTTTTTAATAATTAAAGGTAGATACAATTTCATTTTGTATTTTGTAAACAATTTTAAAACGTGATAAATAATTTCTCGTCCTATATATATCCGTATGTATGTATAATATTTATTCGTATAATATTGCAGTACCAAATAACATAATGTTATTTTGACTAATATTTGCAGTTTCTAGTGATTATCTTTGTATTCAGAAATATATACAATTTAACCATACATAACCAATTTAACCATACATCAGAATAAGATTTAGATTATGATCTGGATCTGAGCATTTACAATGTATACGCATTCTCTTTACTGGATCTTCTTAGATACGAGTACATCAAGGAAACTAATAAGATTTTATTTATATATTTACAATAATGAATATTCTAGCGATAAAAATTTTTATCAAAAAAAAAAAAAAATCATCAATAGATGTATTGAAGTAAAATGGATGCTTGTCATGGAAGGATTTTGATAACCTTGCTAATAAGTATCATTATTATTCGGTGCAATATCTGATGCATCTGAGAGTCTTGGCAGTTTATTTAAGATATTTTATTCTATTGTTTTATTTTATATATATTTTTTAAACATATTAATGGTGAGGGAGATATTTTACACATTTTTAAATGCAATTAGTTATACTGTTGGTGTTAATTAAAATTAATTGGTTTTAAGTTGTAATTTTGTTTTAAATTTTTTGAGGCGTTAAGTCGAAAATATTTTAAAATCGGTTTGTATTTTTTAATATTTTAACTTTAATTTCGTTCTTTGTATTTTGTGTATCTACACGTGTTTCGGCAAATTTGCCTTTGCCTTCATCAAGAGAATTCCTAATGAAAATTGGTTTTAAGTTGTTCTATCCAAATAAAATTCGATTAGAGATTAAAAATAATTTTAATTTTATAAGAATTTCTTCACACATATAAACTGGATACAACGATACGAAAATCTATTAAGTAACATCATATAGTTAAGTAAACATGTTAGAAAATTGAATCACCGTTTCAATTATACCTTACTATCACTTTAGGGGCTTTCTATCGGTCAACTCTCCTTAAATATCATTATAGGCTTTGCCAAAGATTCAAGGTGGTTTCAAATATCATTATAAGCTTTGCCAAAGATTCAAAGTGGTTTTAAACAAACCTCAGAGTTTTTCTTTATACGTTAACACAATGGCCTTTAGACCTAAGTGGATTTCTTAGATCGCCGGTACAACCTAACCTAACCTAACACATCATATATGTTAGTCTATTTTGTATTTTATTTTCTCAAGAGTTTTTTATTTAATAGAAAAATAAACGTGTTTATTTCATTGTTAAGATTAATCTACTTATGACTATTTACTGAATATAAATTCTATTATATCTTTACAAAAGAAATTGCATATAAGTTACGTATATCTTAATTTCTGGTATAGAATGTTGCATTAATTCTCTGAGGTCTAATCTTATCAGATGCTATTGAAACGCATAGTTATCTATGCATGTGAAAACAATTTACTAGTTGTTTAAGGAAATGCAAAAAAAAAAGAAAATAAACTTAAATATTAATAACACTGGAGTGCATTCATAAACAAAATGTTTACTATTATTAAGGTTAAAAGTTGTATAATAAAAGTTAAAATAAATCAGTAAGTCAACAATTTATAACTCACTTAAGCCCAAACAGCAAAATAAGAACTTTTTGAAGTGTTTTTGTCGATCTTCATATGCCAATGCGGAACAATGTTTGCATGCATTGTAGCCATGATAGATGAATGATTTTTAAAGAATAAAGTAGTTCTATACAATATATTTTTTGCCTCAAAACTTATTTAAATAATTATTTTATTGCATTATCTGTTAAGTGCATGTATGATTCATAATTATAAAAATTTTATAATAATGACTACTCTTTGTTTTAACAAAATAATTTTTTACATATAACCAAAATTAACAATTTAATCGTTTTTGTTGGTAAATAATAATGGATTAAAATCATTCAAAAAAAAAATCGTAATAAAATTGGGTAATAATAAATAAAACTAAATATAAAACACATCACTTAAGATAAATTATACTATAAACGTATTTTATTGTATTTAGATCATTATATTTTTTCAAAAACAAATAATATTTACTTTAAATATATATATTATATGTTACGTGCTATTGTTGATTAGTTATTTAATATTATATTCAACAATTATTAAAATAAATTTACATTATTAGAGCATTAATCCTTCCAAAAATAACATTTATGATTTTTTTTTTATTTTTTAACAACGCTCATTCATAAGGTGCTCAAACTCCTTATTGGCACGAAGCTCTACAACTTGAATATATATATATATATATATCTTGATAACTCTTTTGTTTCTGTCAGATTTGTAATCTGTGTCAAACATTTAGATCACCCATATCTCTTTCATTTGTACGTTAAATAACCTTTATCTTTGATCATTTATATCTATTAAAAATATAATATAACTAGCTTAGGCTTTCTAACTTCAAAACTGTTACCATTATATGTGTATTATTCATTGAGGTATGTCTATTAATTGCAAAACAAATAATTAAATAATAAATAAATATTTACAGGAAGCTATATCCAATAACTTTTAAAAAATATTTTTTTTAAATTAAATTTGTTTTAAAATTTTATTTTAAACAAAACATTTCTTTATTAGACTTTTATACATAAATAAATAATGCTATAAATAATAAATGTATAAATATAAATATATATAAATATATTATATATTATAAATATATTTATAAGGAAGGCTATATTTTAAGACAAAAATATTTTAATAAAATTATATTTTAAAAGTTTAAAATAAAAGTATTTTTAAAGTTTAAAATAAAAATATTTAAAAAGTTTAAAATAAAAATATTTAAAAAGTTTAAAATAAAAATATTTTAAAAATTTAAAATAAAAATATTTTAAAAAATTGAAATTTAATTATTTTAAAAATTTAAAATAACATTTTAAAATATCAAAAATTCGAATTGTAATTATTTTGGATTATTAAATTTAAAACTTAAAAAAAAAATATATATTAGCAAACCCATTTTTTATTTTATTTTTTCCTGCAGAATTTTCGTGGCATTGTAATTTGCTTAGAAAGTTAAGTCTCCTTATAATCTTTCAGTACTTGATTTATCTTGAATCTTGATTATTAGAGAAAATCTGTTTCATGTTTAAGAATAAAAATATTTCATTATTTTTAATAACTTTAAGTAAAAATGATTAAATGGAAAATACAAAATTTGTTTAACAAATATTACTATGTATATCCCTTAAAAATGCATTTTTGTTTTAGAATGGATAATTTTATAAATTTTGTTATAATTATTTTAATAAAAATTGTTATTGAAATAGTTTTTATTATTATTAATTTAAATAAGCAATAATCTTCTGATATATTTTGTATAAATTTATTCAAAAAATTGCTAATTGGTAAAATTGGTTAATTGAAGTCTAACTTAGTGCAGTTTGCACGGACAGGGTGTTTTAGACTGTAGATCAGTATATACTTCAGTATGTCGGTACAAATCTTTTAGATAGCTTTTCAGGAGCAAAAAATTTTTCGTTTATTAAAATAAAATATTTATTTATTTGTTGCAAAACTTACAAAGAATTAAATCACAAAGTAAGGTTAAGTACAGAGAGTTGAGAACAATGGCCCTCAGCTTGGTTCTGATAATAAAATAATTTTTTAAAGCTTTATTTTATAAATCAAATTGTTATATTATAGGAAAACAAATATAATTAAGTAATACTCTTATATTAAGTATTTGTGTAAGATTGTGTCATATATAAAATGTTGTAAGTTATTACTTACTAAAAACATATACGAGGGGTAAGCAAAAAGTTTTCTACTTTCTGGCTTTAAAGTTTTCTAGCTTTAGGAAATATTTATTTATAATTTTATAAATAATACCTTTAAAAAGATATATATATTATTTTTAATGTCATCATAATATTAACTGATAAATCATCATAACTGTTAATAAAATAAGAATTACCAGCTACATTCTAGAAATTAAAGAAATATCAAAATAGAGTACTGATAAAGGTCAACGCCCAATAAAAGACAATGCATATAATAAAACCGATTTTTTGAAAGTAGTAGTTGTTGAAAGTAGTTGAGTAGTTGAAAGTAGTTATATTCCACCACAGCAATGCACGGGCTCATACTTCAGCTGTGATTAATATTTATTCTCATCTATGTTATCTGGTCCTATGTTACTATTTATTATCTAATATTATTGTCATATGAATATTATTGTCAAATGAAGAGCTGATGACGAAAATAAATATTTTGAAGACATTGGTGCAATGTATTACTTAGCTAAATTAAAGAAATTGGATCATCGTTCGGAAAATAGTATTGAATTAATAGTCGATTTATTTAAAAACTAAACAATAAGAAATATTTGAAGACAATTCTATGTCAGGAGCCCTCGTATGTATAAAAAGTAATCAAATTGTCTATCTAAATTTGTTATACATATTATTATATTTAAAAAATAATTAGTATTTAGTGAATTATCAAAGTATGACTAAATATATTTATTACATATACATATATATATATATATATATA